AAAACTTCCCCCCGGCTCTTGTGGGGCCCTTTTGCCCACAAAACCCCCCCCCCCCCCCCCCCACACACACACACACACACACACACGCACCTCAAATCCCTTTTCGATACTTCATTTATATTTTAAAATAAATGCACAATTTTGGTAATGGTGTCATTTTATCTAAGACTTATCCTTGATTTCCCACAACTTGTTATGAATATCCACCAGTACCAATCCAGCACATTGAATTCATATCATGTCATATTTTGTTCTCTTATGTATACTATCATGTATTATGGAAGTAGCAGAGGCAGGAACAATATTGGCATATAATTACATATATAAATTGAATGCCCACCATGCCTTTTCATATTAACGTAACCATACACTTCACACTATACCTGTTGGTCAAGGCATATAGTGTGAAGTATTTTGTTTTGTGTGATACATATGGGTGGTTAAGGTGCAAAGAGATTAAACAGTCAAGAAAGGCTAGGGTATTGTCTTTGCTTTCCTCTTGACTTAACATAGTGTTGCATTATTCCAAGTGGTGAGTGCAGTGTGTGAAGAGTCTGTTGAAAGTGCAAGCTTATGAAAAGATGTTTAAGTGGGGTGTAATCTTAAATTTCATGTCAAAGGTGGTTAATTTAAAGCCCTGCCCCATCCTCTACCCCAGTCAACTTGATGATAAACTGCCCCATGGCACAGCTACTAGTACATGTACTGGTAACTTCCCATCCTTACATAATGTAGCCAAAAGCTAGCTGAACTGAGTACACCCACTCAGACTAATGTTCATACCTTTTTCTATGGACCTTATATCATAAACACTGGGCTTTACAGTCAGAAGACTGATTGTATGTACTATAATAGATTTACTTTTCATTGAGGGAGAATTGTGAGTTTTACAGATGCTATATTTCTGAAGTCATAATTTCATAAAATTTCTTAAAATTGGAACATATGCATAGAGTGATAGCAACAAAATTAAAAGCAGGCTACTCTAGACTATAGTTCTATTCTATGCTGTAAAAGCACCACGAATGTTACATAGAAAAATAGTTTTTGTAATAATACAATTATGGCTCTTAAAGTTTGCTAAGATTTGCCCATTGAAAATATTGATTCATACGGTATGTGGGCTTTTTGTGTGTGTGTGTGCATGGTTGTGTGTTTGTGCATGGTTGATTGCATTTGACCAGTGGCTACTGGTACATTCAGCATGCCTGTCAAAAATGGAGGGCATATTTTCTCGGTATGTTTTTGAATTAGAGCTAGATCATGGCAGATATTTGAGGTTTCATATTCTAGAACTGTTAAAGGTTAGGTATTAGTTTTGGTTTCTTAATTTTTTTTTCAGAGTAGGATTTACTCAGGTGAAGTGATTTTTGATATGTATAGCTGGTGGTTGAATTGAACGTATACTGTACCAGTAACTATATGTTCATTGGGTTGGTTTAGATTGTGTAAAGTGTTATATTTTAGGTAATGCGGTATCATGTTCTATTCTATAACCTACTTGTAACTTGTATCTTTTTTAAATGAACCATTTTTAAGTTATTTCAATTATTACTTTATATATTTTTTAGGGGGCCATGCTATATTTTGAAACCTTGACACTGAAAGTAGTAGTTCAGTGGACAGCCACACTCTTTACCTTTGTGGCCTTTCTAGCAGGAATGTGAGTATAATCACCAGGGACCCTGGCACAACATAAGGCCCCTGTCCCATAAACTTTATATAACACCGTCGATCTACCTGGATTGACCCAACTCTGCAGGGACTCTCGCTAACTGCAGTCAGCTTAACTGAATGGCATGCCTCCTCCTGGTGATAAGTCGAATTATACAGAAAATATGGTGATTATAGGGGTATGTTGGAAACAAGAGGGGGGGGTGTCATTCAGTTAAGCTGATTGCACTTACTAGTAGCGAGAAACCGTAGAGTTGGGTCAATCTACATAGCCCGATTGTATATTTGGTAATGGGGTCTGAGACTGAATGGTAGTCTTGACTCACATAGAAGTTGACACACACACACACACACACACACACACACACACAAAAAGCCCACATACGGTAATGAAGATATTTAATGGAATTAAAGATTTAAGATGAACTCTTTAAGACCAATAATTTCTATTATTATTATTATTATTATTATAATTATAATTATAAGTAGTAGTAGTAGTTACTGTAGTATAGTAGTAGTATTAGTTACTGTAGTAGTAGTAGTTGTAGATTTATGAAGATTTATCCCTAACAGATAGAAATTGACAAATTGATTATACCGATTCCTTATCATTCCAGCCATTCTGCACATAAGATAGTAAAGCAAGGTAACACACATGAAGTGTCCCTGGTCCCCTACCTCTCTTTCTTTGTAGGGTAAGTATGACTTTAGAACTGGACGATATTTTTCTGTTTAATAAATGTGCTAAGAGCGATTAAAAAGTTGCTGGATTTTGTATGAGCTGTTCAAAAATGAAGATTGGAGGAAGGGCTGTTTTTTCTTCTGTTTCTATTTATTATTATTATTTTTTGTTATAATATCTGTTTTTACTGTTCTGTAAAAAGGTCATGTCATGGCCCTTAGTGAAACAGTGTGTTGGATGTTATACAGTAAACAAGTAGGAAAGCTTTAGTTTATGGAATTGAGAAATGTATTTTTAAAAAAATGTCTGATCTTGTAACTTATTTACACCTCTATATTTATACATGAAATGTCACATGAAAGTCCCAGTTTTTACAAATCACTGGGTATTTATATCTGGGCATCAGCATTTTGGTTGAGTAAGTTTTATTAATAAATTGGTAGCAAAGCTGTGGAGGAAATGCAGAATGCATAAAATTCCAGTCACGTAATTACTAGGTAGAACCTCTCATGCATATACCCGCACCCCTTGATGCAAGAGGGTGTTATAGGATGCCAGCAGTGTCAAAATGAGTGGATCTGACCTAGATTGTAATTTAGCTTTTAAGCAATAAGTAATATATATTTTATATGCCACTTTTGAGAATTTAAGATATGCTACTTTTTACATTTACAAAAAAACTACTTTTCACATTGAAAATATTTGACTGTTTATAATGATATTTTATTATATTTTTCTTTCTCAGAGCTGTGGTGTGGCTGAAGTATGGGACCTTAATCCATGACCCCACAATAATCTTGGTTAATATAGTTGGACTTTGCTTCCAAACAGTTTACATATTTATATATTATATATATAGTCTACAGAAGGTGAGTTTGATAATGGGGTATCTTTATCTGTATTTTGAAATTTTGAAAAAAATTGAGTGTATGAGGAGGAATTGTCTCAAGAATTGGAAAATTAATGCTGAAGCTCAGGTGAAAAAAAACTGATTATGAAAGTAACAAGCATTTTTCGAGAAAAAAATTTGTTGGCTTGGGAGGTTTGAGACAAAGATGTTTGACTCAACAAACAATGGCAATATTTGTGTCCAAGCACATTTGATTCATGCCAATGATCACTTCATTGCTATTTGGCAGTTATTGATTCATAGTCCATTACTAGTAACTGTTAAAAATACAAGTCCAAGATTAATGTTGTTTGAAATAAAATATGTTGGTCACTTAGTTTGCAAGTTATGTCACTTAGTTTAACCCACATGGGAACATTATGTTATGGTTACATGTATTCTGTTATATTTTTTCGTGTTTGTTATTTCCACATTTTTATTTTATATTGGCCAAATCCTGTATATAATTGCTTCTTTAACAAACTTTGCTTTTTCAAACTAATATTTAAATTTTTGGTGTAAGGATGCAAATATTGAAAAAAAAAAAAAAACATTCCGAGCATCTAAGAAAGTAGGTACTATTGAATTTAGTTGTGTGAACTTACATTAATTTTTTTTCTGATTTTAACAACTTACTAGTAGATATTCCAATCTTTGGGTGAAAAAGTTTTGCTTTTGTAGATTTGTGTGATTTTGTTACATTTTAATATAGATTTATTTTAGATTTTCCACTTAAAATCAATACTGTGACTAATGAGTCAGCCATTTTGACCTCTACATTTTTTATCAGGAAACCATTTTAGAAAGAACAGAAAAGATAACTTTGTACTGGTAATTTTCAAAACATTTTTGAATCATTAACACATGTAAGGGCTTCAACTTTTATCAGCTGGAAGACCAGTTAAAATTTTTAACAATAACTTGAAAGGCATTGTGTTGAAAAGACCACACACATGCGTGCACGCACGCACACACACACACACACACACACACACACTTGTGAAGCACACCTTTTCACAAAAACACTAACATCCAATGGAATCGATAATTAAGTTGGTTTTAATTCCAGCACTTTATTTACAAACAATTTGCCTTTGCTGCTGCAGTAGTGGTCCCCACTCTAGTCTATGCCAAATACCTTGCCTCCAGTTTAGCCAAAGCCACACAAGTTGTGGGCTTGGTGGGCTGTATGCTCTCTTTGTGTTCATACTGCTCCCCACTTGCTACTTTGGTGAGTTTTTAGTTCTGATAATTTTTTTTTTTTTTTTTTTGTGAGGCCAAACAAATTGGAGGAGAGTTTGGACAAGATGGCATCTTGCTTTTTTTCCTAAAACTTTTTGGCAAGCTTTTAAACCAAATTTATGAAAAATTGAGTGATTACTAAATGCTTATATGACCCCCTCTTTCTTGGAGAATTAAATAAAGTGTAAGGGAAAAGAAGAAAGGGTGAAAATATTGACAATTGTGTCTTCCCTTCATGTTATTCCATATTGCTTGGCCTTACCTATTATTCTTACTTTGAATTTAACAGCACAGTTTCTGTTTTGTTTTTATTTACCCTTATTCATATTCATGACTAACTCCATTTTTCCATTTCTTTTTCTTCATTTTAGTCTTGTTGCAGAACTGTGTGAATTTCTCTTATCAGTGACAAGAACTTGTAACCACACTGCTGTGATAGTTGCAATCTATTTTTATTGCATTGGGTGTGACAAAATATTGTCACAACTACTGCAATTTCTATCCCCATTATTTCCAGAGCACGGTATACATGCAGTTTGCAGCTGCCTTAGCAATCATACTGCCGATGTTAGCTTACTGCCACTATGTGGCGCCAACAACAGCAGTGGCTGCCAACGTTGTTGGTTTAATTGGCAGCGGGTTGTCCATAGCAACATTTGCATCCCCATTAGCCACCTTGGTGAGTTTGTGTGCCCTTTGTTTGAAGACCTTTTCCTATGTGTTAGTTTGTTTGTATAGACATGCAAGGGGAGAGAGAGAGAGAGTTGTTCTGTGTTGGGATGTCTCTTCATGTACTGATTATTTCATTTTATCTTATACTGCTAGATGTGACCCTTTCAGTTTACTTACCCTTGTGCATTGGGAGAGAGCTGTTCTGTATTTGTTTGTGTTTCAGTATGAAATGGCCTTTACTTTTTGGGTATGCTCTTGTAGAGTTGAATATGAAGGTGCAGCAGTAGACACGTTTGAGAGGAGAGAGAGTGAGAGAGAGGTGCTGTATGTTTGTTTTTGTCTTTATATGTGGAAATCCTCTTCAGTTTCTCTTGTTGATGTGCTTTTGTATTGGTGTGGATGTTTAGATGGTGGTGTTCATGTAAAAGAATATATAAATAATGTGTGTGATCTTCTGTGTGCATAGCATTGTCCTACATTGTCAAACTTAGTTTGTTTTTTTTTTAATAACTGCCCTCCCCTCCCCTTTTCTCATGAATTGATATCATATTGTTGAAGTTTTTAATTTTAGTTTTAAAGATAATTATCATGTTATTGTTTGCTACTAATACTGTTTCTTTTCATTTCTCCTTTAGTGCAGGTCCCCTGTTGTTATGAAGAAATTTGTTAATTTTGAATTTTCATGCAAACTTTTCATATAAATAAAAAAGATTTAGCAGATTGGAAAATTTTGTGATTAATATTGATATTAAATGTTAAATTTAAGATAGATATTTATGTATTTTTGTAAAGATATAAAAACATACGTATGTAATGCATTGCCTAATGTCTTTATTAACAGTGATTATTATGATAATTATACACCAGTAGATGTAATATGTTAAAGAAGGTGGAACATCCAAGACATCCCTGGCCTAGTTTTTGAAGTATTACTTGTTAAGAAAAGATGCCATTAGGGAGATATTACAGTACTTTTAAGTATTAAAATAGATGAAACAGCCTCTGCAGAATACAGCTTATCTTTTCTACCATTTTGTAAAGAAAGGCAGAGGGAGGTGAGCATACAAATTTGTATGCTGACCTCTCTACCTCACAGCTTTTTATGGATATCAGTATGATATTGAGGCTTTAACAGAAGTACTGGGTATTTATCTAATCAAAATGTGTTTTATTTCAGAGAACTGTGTTAAAAAATAAAAGCACAGACTCCATGTCTTTTCCTCTTGTAGCTGTCAACTTTCTAGTGGCCTTACAGTGGGCTTTGTATGGTTATTTATTAAAAGATAAAAACATACTGGTAAGTATATCATTAATGCAGAATACATTTGTTGTTGATTTAAAGTATATTTTTATTAAATTATGATTTTAAAAAGTTACTGGTATTATTTCCTTCTCTGTTATTGAATGTTTAATGAATTGGTATTTCAGAAATATTCACAAATATAATGATATTAAGATTTTTTGTGATAACCTTTAATAGCATTTCCATCAATTTTAAAGTTTTAGATATGTCAGGTCACTTATCTGTTTCAATAACTCATTAAGAATATTATTTATCTGGATGAACAATGGACAAATCTACTCACTGATCTTATTGAGTTCACCATTAGTACTTACCTGAGATCTCACTGGTACACTTGATTCCATGATATCTTATTGATACCTACATTATTCCCTTATTGTTCCAGATTCCTAATACTCTAGGCTGTGCAATAGCTGGTGTACAAGTCTTACTATTTGTTGTCTACCCACCCTGGAAATCAAAGACGCACCATGCTCCACTGCATGGTCCAGTCATTAAAACATAAGGCCACCAGGGGGCAGCAAAGGTCACTCAAGGGTCAGAGGTTACCAGAAGGTCAGAGGAGGAGAGAAAAGTGAACTTTGTCATGTGTTATTATACTTTTTTTAATCAGGTGATATTTTATGTTATATTATTATTTGGCAAACTTTTGCCAAAACCTGGAGAGAGTGAAGTTTGTTTGAGCCTTAGTAAGGTTAAAATGACTTTTTTTTCAGTTTAGTAGACTTTTTTTCTGCATTCTGTCAAGAAGATATTTGACAACCAGCACAATGGACACGTGTCACAACTATCACAATATTATAACATACAAATTGACCTCTTCAAGAGTCTGCCGTAGGGGCCAGTGTAATGATAGATTCATTTCCAAATATTTTCATTTTCTTAACATTGATTGAACCTACTTGCCAAAAGGGGTTGATAGTTTGATTAATAAAGACCAGTCCATGTACAGACATCAGCTGCATGCAAAGTAATGTTCAGTGAAGCACTTGTTGGGAAAGAAAAATTTTTGGATGAATGAGTAATTAGTTATAAAGCAGAAAAAAAGAGAATGCTGTACATACCATGTGTTATATTTATTTGCATTGAATTTGAATTTCAAAGTGATTTCAAAACACGGGGTTGCAAACATCTTGATGCTCAGACTTACAAGATATTTTTAGAATACTGAACTTAAGATTATAGTCAAATACTTTCACATTTCTAGTCTCAAAGATATATTGACTACTATTATTTATTTATGAGATTAGAAACAACCACTCACGGCATGCTTACATTGGTAGATTACTGCAATGAACCATGAATAATGGCTGATGTTTTATTAAAGACAGCATTTAAATAACAGTTTTTATTTATTGTGTGTAAATTTGATTTGTATGCTTGAGAAAATCAGTTTAATTGGATTGTTTTGTTTGTTATCAATTAATAGATGCTTTGTATATGATCATTATTTGACATTCCTAGATGAACATGAGGTAGTATTAGTTTTCATTGTATTCAAGTCTTATTTAACTCACAGGCTCATTATTTCTAAGCCTAAATCTTAGAGGAAGACCCAGGGGTACATGTGCATGTACACCCACTCTCTGGATGCCATCAGACGATGATAGTGGTGCTGAACATGTGTGTGCTGAGCTTGAAATACAATTTTTTTAAGGGGTGAATCCTAAAAGCCTTAAGCTTATTATCAGTAGTGCCTGTATCAGGCATGAATGTTTTAAAAAATATTAAACTATGTAGTCAGGATATTTGTAATAACAGTGTAGAAGGGACGTGAAGTGAATCTCAATGCTCATACCAATGCCAATATTAATAAGATGTCGTGCGAGACCTTTATAAGCAGCAGTGTCAACTTCAAAAGATTTTTAATGTTAGTTCCCAATGTTAGCGTTACGAGCTACTCAATAGTTTACTTTTCTTTATTTTTATCTTTTTAGAGAGTGTGTTATTACATTGGCGACATAGATTGTTATGTTTTGAAATAGAACATATATCAAGGTGATCAGGTGTTGTAGGTTACAAGCATTTCCCTTATTTGATGTATCTTTCTTAAAAACTCCCTAAAGTGGATGTTACATAAGTGTACGAGGTATAATTTACAGTAGACGCACGATGTAGCTATTTTTTCCTGATATGCCAGACGCAGTGTGTAAGATGTAAAATATGCAATGGGATTAGATTTATCATGTGTCACCTTAACAATAAAACACGTATTATGTTCCAATTTTAGATATTTTTCATAAAAAGGTATCATATTCAGACACAGCGATGTTCAACTACTACAGCATTGATTGATTTTATGCTTGGTTTCTGTAAGTTCACACCGAGTTCCACACACGGCAATGGCTGTAGTCTTACTCAGCAGGTGCTTTCCGTCACTCTGAGAATTCCTCAGTTCTAAGGGGGATATCCTCTCCTCCAGTGTACGCATTTGTTCATCATGGCTTCCAGACATCTGCTGGTGATTGCCTTGCAGCCAGCAAACGCTCGTCACCAGTATTTAATGAATAGAAACCGACAATATAACGCTAGACACTTGGGAAGGATACCTGTAATTGAGGATGAATGATTTGCCCTCGAGTTTTTACTAGTATATGTAGTTAAGGTTTAATGTTACATAGTTAGTATATATTTAGTTTTGCATTTGAAACTTGCATTTTACTATTCACTTACGAATATGAATAAGAATATTCGCTTTATATTAAAGACGTTGTCAATAACATTTGCATAAATGCCGCTACGTTTTAATAGTCCATGAGCCAAAGGCNCGCAGCATTTTTTTCTAAACAAGTTGACCGCCAATTAAGCACGATTTTGCACCTTCAAGTTCCGTGTCACGTTTTCATATCATGCATTTATTATTTCTACAAATTTTCTCTGCCCAAAATGCGTAAAGAAAAAGTGTTATCTTACCATGTTGTTTAGAAAACTTCTTTTTCCTCCAACAACCCGTCTTCACTGCCGTTCACCTCTATGTTAAAATGACCACTCAGCTTCGTTTCTAACACCACTGCACGTCACTTCCGGCACAATTCTGACCAATGCTGATCTTCTCCGGTTCCCTTTATTGGATTGTTTTGTTTGTTATCAATTGATAGATGCTTTGTATATGATCATTATTTGACATTCCTAGATGAACATGAAGTAGTATTAGTTTTCATTGTATTCAAGTCTTATTTAACTCACAGGCTCATTATTTCTAAGCCTAAATCTTAGAGGAAGACCCAGGGGTACATGTGCATGTGCACCCACTCTCTGGATGCCATCAGACGATGATAGTGGTGCTGAACATGTGTGTGCTGAGCTTGAAATACAATTTTTTTTTAAGGGGTGAATCCTAAAAGCCTTAAGCTTATTATCAGTAGTGCCTGTATCAGGCATGAATGTTTTAAAAAATATTAAACTATGTAGTCAGGATATTTGTAATAACAGTGTAGAAGGGACGTGAGGTGAATCTCAATGCTCATACCAATGCCAATATTAATAAGATGTCGGTGCGAGACCTTTATAAGCAGCAGTGTCAAAGAGAAATAGTTAGCTACTGCTTAACACTTTGACATTCTATAGGTTTTAGATTCAAGGAAAATGTTTTTGTTTACCTAAAGATAGATTATTTTCCACCACCACCCATGTGTAGGTCAACTTCAAAAGATTTTTAATGTTAGTTCCCAATGTTAGCGTTACGAGCTACTCAATATTTTACTTTTCTTTATTTTTATCTTTTTAGAGAGTGTGTTATTACATTGGCGACATAGATTGTTATGTTTTGAAATAGAACATATATCAAGGTGATCAGATGTTGTAGGTTACAAGCATTTCCCTTATTTGATGTATCTTTCTTAAAAACTCCCTAAAGTGGATGTTACATAATTTACGAGGTATAATTTACAGTAGACGCACGATGTAGCTATTTTTTCCTGATATGCCAGACGCAGTGTGTAAGATGTAAAATATGCAATGGGATTAGATTTATCATGTGTCACGTTAACAATAAAACACGTATTATGTTCCAATTTTAGATATTTTTCATAAAAAGGTATCATATTCAGACACAGCGATGTTCAACTACTACAGCATCGATTGATTTTATCCTTGGTTTCTGTAAGTTCACACCGAGTTCCACACACGGCAATGGCTGTAGTCTTACTCAGCAGGTGCTTTCCGTCACTCTGAGAAATCCTCAGTTCTAAGGGGGATATCCTCTCCTCCAGTGTACGCCTTTGTTCATCATGGCTTCCAGACATCTGCTGGTGATTGCCTTGCAGCCAGCAAACGCTCGTCACCAGTATTTAATGAATAGAAACCGACAATATAACGTTAGACACTTGGGAAGGATACCTGTAATTGAGGATGAATGATTTGCCCTCGAGTTTTTACTAGTATATGTAGTTAAGGTTTAATGTTACATAGTTAGTATATATTTAGTTTTGCATTTGAAACTTGCATTTTACTATTCACTTACGAATATGAATAAGAATATTCGCTTTATATTAAAGACGTTGTCAATAACATTTGCATAAATGCCGCTACGTTTTAAATACTATACCGAATATTAAAAGTATATTTCTGAATGTATTAGTTTGAATGGCATTAGATTTTAAGAATTAGGCAGAGTTTGGGGGACCAGTTATTTGTACTTGTATATATTTAAAGTTCGAATTGCTGTCGCAGTTGAAATGTTAACAGATTCAAATAATTGTTGATAAAATAAAATGTGAAAAATTCTCATATATCTCATATATGTTTCATTTTAATTTCAGTTGTTCTTTCTTTTTACTTTAAGTCGAAAACAAGGCAAAAGCAGTTTGCCAAACGACCTTCAGTAGGCATGGAGGCTCCTGAATTTCGTGTAAGGGGTTTGAACAATATTTCCGTGTAGGTAACGAAAGGATCCCCTGTGGGTTCTTATTGACTTAATCTGTTCTTTTAAGACCCGTCCTAGGTTGAACGCTACCCCTAACCTATATGGAAGTACTAGTAATACAGGGCGGACTCGCTTTTTTAACACGCGATTCACGAAGGAACTTGAGCCAGAATTAGAAGGGAACTTACGCACGCAAACTTTAACACTGAAATGGTGATCCCTTTAGAAATAACGTTATAATTCCATAGTTAGGGTAAGCGATCATTGATCTGGAATATTATCTACATCTTTGTTCTTTGAAACGAATTAAATATTTCATTAGATTATTCATAGAATTACTATACTGATTTATCTTGGGTCAAAGCACTCTAAAAACCGGTCAAAATGGACCAATTTTCGGTCTCAATTCCTTATGTGAAAAAAAAAACACGTTTTTAATAATGGCAATGGAACAAAGGTTGAGGTATCTCTACAATCAGTGATAGTTGTCATCAGCCTCGTTTCTGTATGTAAAACGTTATCAAATTTTATAAAGAACTTTATTTGGGCACTTCCCAAGCCGATTTAAACAACTGCGCTTTATTTTATGCAAAGCAACCAAAAAATAGCATCCATGCACCTAGGAAACATTGCTCTTGGTAATTACCTGCTTCAAGTGCTCTGACATCAATACACAAAAACAATGAAGGATTCCAACAATGAAGGATAGCAGTAATCCCGCAACATATGTCTCGTTCCTCTTGAGGGCACGTGATTAGCACGAGATAATGAGATTAGCCCGAGGCCTCTCCGCCATTACACCGAGATTATGATTGATCGAGACTGCTTCGTATTGGGCTGTGTCAACATTTAAGAAATTGACTTTTCCGGTTGAAAGTGATATTGATGATAAGAGTAATTTCTGCGTATCATGTTTCTATGACCAAAGTTATTACGGCAAGAGAATTAGTCCCAACATCCAAGAGATCGGGTTCTGATAATGTTTGGTAGCAGAATTGAATTTCTCCACCAGTGGGTTAGAGAGAAGAGAAGAGAATAACGATCTAATAACATAATGCAGGAAATATGATTTGGACAAAGTGGGCTAGTAGAAATATGGTACAAATTACATTACCATGAAATGACCCAGGTACAGCTGGGTGGATCTGGTTTTCACAAAGGAAAGCCTAATGGAATTAGTTATGGCATGAAGAAAAAAAATGAATAAATAAATTGTTCACTATGTTATTATGATCGATATTTATTCTATCCAGAGAATACGCATAGATGTAACTTAATGTATGTTACTTTTTCAAAACGTCATCATTGAAAAAAGGACGTAATTTAATCTATAATCGTATTTTGTTTTTTAAATACCGGCAATATTACATTTTTGAAATTTCCAATCTGGGTTCAAAAAGAAAGGATAACATTTTAAGCTATGAACGAAGCTAAGGCATTTGTGTCGATATGCATAAAATAAAAGTGAAGGTTCTTTCTCGAAAATTATGCTATAAGATAGACCAGTAGGCCTATATTTATTATTTTTTATTGATATTAATTTTAATATAAGCGTATACGTGTCCAAATCCACATTTGTAATATTCTAAGGGTGTCTGTCAAATCTATTCCTGGAAATGACAAAAAAGGTAAATAAAAAAGGATATTCCTTGTCCATGAACAGTATAGGGTAACTTTATGAAAACAGGTTATTGGATCCTGTTCCATATCTCACATAAACCAGCAACATTCTGGGCAGGACATTGTATTCTAATAAAAGGAATATTCCTTTGGAAACCACGACACGTATATATTCCAAGTGCGTATATGCTGGTATTACTTTCCACATCGCACATAAGCCAGCAGTATTTAGATTGGAGATATAAATGATTCTTAAACATGCTCTGTGTTACCCCTGGGGCATTCTAAGCCCTGTCTCAGTGCCTCGGCGGATTTCTGGAATTGTATTCCAAAGAAATGAATATTGATATTCCAAAAATACCAGAGAACAAGCACTGTAACTACAGATATGGTAGATTATGGTCTTACTGGGCATGATCCAAAAGCCCAGCTGCATCCGGGCAGAGGAGATATATGCCTTTTTAAACACATTGAGATAAACTGTACTTTTGCTTTATGGCAATTAAAATGCCATTGCGAAGACCAGAGAAGCAGACAATGTATAATATAGCAACATGAATGGGCATTTTTCACATAAGCTTAGCTAGAAACATTCAAAATGTAATGATAGGTTACCTTCTAACCACGATCTATGGTACCATTGATCTTTACAAATCCTCCTAATGAGTACTGCTAGTTTTTCAGATTTGAACTGAAAAAAAATATATATACTAATAACTGGCAATATTCTCTTTAAATCATTCAAAGTTCAGATTAGGGTGTGTGTACACCTTTTCTGAACCACGTGTCTTTAAATTTAGCATTGGTATCTTACAAATTAAATTTATGTAAGTTTCGAATTGCAACAATACAGACGAGCACGTAATTCAGATTTCGGTTCATGTTCACAAAAACCGCTTAAAGTAGTCAGGGTGCAAAGACTAATTGCTTCTAGTATGGTCTTCTGAAAAATAAAATGCCATCCCAAAATACCAAAGATGTCTCAAATTTCGCCGTTTATTGTGTCACTCGAATTTACCATACAAACTCGTGAAAAATTTAAAAAGCAGAAAGGGTACTTTAATATATTTTAAAACAATGTCTGGGTATTATTCAGTTTGACGAAATGCATCCTGCTTGTATTGATACCCCCCCCCCCCCAACTAATGAAATAAATAAATAAATAAATAAATAAAGGAAATTGCGTACTGTGTTTTATTTAGAAAATATCCATGTATTGTGTCATAACGTAACTGCCGTGTACATTTATGAAGGTTTTGCTTTATAAAATATAGCTGAGTTCTATCTACTCACGCAGTCATCTACCCACGCTGTAGCACTCAGACTATTAAGATAAATGTTTTATTTTTTCTATGTTATGGGAATAACCATTGTATAATAATCTGAAAGAAATAAATATAAATCAATGCGCTATATTGCAAACTACACAAACTATGCACGTTCACTGATAATGGCATAAGTCGGGTCATATCCACATAACCCAGATGCTGCCAAGCTATGGAGATAACTATGTTTCCAAACCAAGGGCCATAGTACCCCCGGGACCATCTAAACCGTCGTTCTGAGCCATAACTCATTACGGCTATTAATATTTGATGGGATTGATTTCAAGCTCACATCTTGGTAAACGAACAATTGAAAGATATAGCAGTGCGTACTGGAGAACAGATCAAGATCTGATCTCATGATAGATCTAGCTTCTGCGTAAATACACCTTCAGATATTATTAATTTTGTTATTTAAATAAGCAAACACAATGTGTTGGAGTGAATCACATAACACTGGTGTTTTAATGGTTTAACTTAAAGAAAGTGGGCTTGTGATGGGAGAGTTTGGGTTAGGCGGCATTCACACTCCCTGAAGAAGGCAGCAAGCCGAAAGCTCGGACATTGTTCCAAACAGTAGATCTTTGTAGATGCATTTAATTAAATCAAACATTTATTTCTTAAACACAAGATCTATTCGGTGATTTATGATGAAATGACAGGTTTTTTCAAACACTTAGTTAAAAGGTATAGAAATAGATCCATCAGCCACTTTAAATGTACTAGATTGCAGAAAGAATACAAGCCACAGAATCTTTCTGCATTGTTTGCCCATTGTTAGACACTGTTACGATAATAGCTTGTGCATCAAGAAAACACAGAAACGCGCCTTAAAGCCTTACGTCCATTATCTGTGCGTATTGATCTTACTGACGACGCGGTGTGAAACGTCGGGCTGCCTCGTATTGACGTAAGGGGTCATATCAAAACGCGATAATACCAGAGGGCAATGTTCTTGGGCAAAGACAAATTGATTTTCAGGAATGCAGGAAGAGCTCGACAAATCTTTATCTATTTTCACTTATAGCTTAATAATTATTCATTATCTTATCGACGCAAGGAGATCAAATGGGGAGTGGGAATTAAGTATGTGAAAGAGTGAGATCCTGTCACTGGTGTTAAACCTTGTTCAGAGTTTAAGACATTTTTTTCCTAAATTGCCCGTTAATTTTCACCAGGTCATTTGCAGCTTATCTGACAGCTACACTGTACGTGCTTCATTTCGGGGCAATGACCAAGACCGCGGATAATATGGACTGGCAGTGTTCATAAAAGCCAGGGGATGAAATCGAACGGCTTCCCCTTAAAACGCATTTTTGCTTTGAATCTGAAATCAATTGCTACTTCTTTGTCCTTTAAAAACACCGTTTACTAGGCAACATATTAAATTCCTTTGCCTCCGTCGAAACTCGAGAATATTGATTTCAAAAACGTATTTGGTATTTCGAAGATGATAAGATAGAGTTAGATTTCATAAATTAAGATGAACTATATGTCAACAATAACCTTTTTTTATCTGGAAGTAAAAATCTAATACAAATTCAAGTATATCTTGCAAAACGTTTTTTAATGGCGTCTTTAAGACATGATACAGAATGCAGAGGTATGATGAATAAAATGAAGTAACATAAATTGTGTTTGAGATGAACGTTTCACGAAATACACTGTATGGTTACCGAACATGGTTCAACAGTTTTGAGACAGTCCCCAATGACTTGAACGTGAATCCTCCCAGGTACTTTAATCATCGACATTCACGAGTGGCACGGCTCCACGGTTCCCTTAACACTTTGGGATAATTTACAAGTTGTCTCCGGACACGCACTTCCAGAGCTCCGCGAATCGAAACGACCAAAGCTTCGTAAGTTCACAGGATAAAAAAAAATAGAGAGAAGCTTTGTGAAATATTCAGCTGGAAGGCGCTCTGTCAGTGTCATGAATGTTTCCAAGCCCTGTGCGAGAGTGTGAAATGCCCCAAAGAGCGCACCATTAGGCGTTAAGATCTGCACATCTACACACAGATGTCGTGGGTGGATTTTATATAGTTCTTTATCTCAGGAGGACTGTTGGGGGTTGGTTGGTGCCTTCATTGAGCAAAAAATTAAACCTGCAGAAATCGTTGCCTTTCGTGCGGCAGGGTTTGTTCCTTGAAATTATTACCTGGAATGACGTAGGACGTTTTTAACATATGCACTACAATAAGGTGATAGTAAAGGAAAGCCCGCAAAGCTGTTGTACCGGAGAAGTGATTTAGAGTATTTTCAAGGTGCTGACGAGTGGATGGATTTCATCAATATCATACGGTGGTAAGTGCCGCCTTTTATGAACACGTGACACGGTGAGTGCAGTTTCAAGGTACTGCAGTGAAACTTAAAACCTTCCTTGGTTTAATTACATGACAGTGATTTTAACGTGGGTTTCAGTCCGGAAATTCCTGGGTCAGTTTTCAGTTGATTTGGTGCTTTGTGGACAAAAAGATAAATATAACCTTACTTGTCTTTCTGAGTAATAGTTGTTAAGTACCGAGTGTCCTTACCCATACAGGACATTGCTATGAATAGAAACCGGGTGATCCAGATGTTCTAACCCTTGTGTCTACGAATAAATGAAAGCTAAATCGATCTTCATTAAACTTTGTGTTTATCCGAGCGCACTTGTAGAAATATATCTTGTCAAGTACGCAATGTATTAGATTAAGCTAACAGGTATGATGTATGTGCACAATGAAAAACGGACGAGTAAATCATTAATTCATTCTGCCGCTCCATTACAGCGGAGTACCAGTGTCTCAGTGATATCACGCTCCAGTATTTCAGTTAAGCAGAATAGCTATTAGGATAATTTTTGAGTCATAAAAATCTGCAAAACTCGACAAACCACCACAAGGTTTCAGCTTTAAGACAACAATCACGTAACATGAACAATTACGAGCACATGACAAATTAATCTGTTTAAATAACCCATAGGCATCAATACGAAATAAAGAAAAGAAAACAGTAGCAAAAAGATTAAAACGGAACAATGAAACAGATCCTTTATAAAAGTGCTCACACCAATGTCGGCTAAGAATATTAACGGCTTTAAGTAAGATGGATTTTCAACTTTCGATTTTTTGTGAAACATAAACATGGGGCAATATACATGTATATATTTGCTAACTATCACGGGTATTACAGTTACATCTCGCATTTGAAAGCCAACAGGTAAAGTGTTCACGTATAATGGGGAATAGGCAAATAAATCATTAGTAGATGCCTTTATACGGCAGTCGCTGATTAAACCTACGCATTACAGAAAACCTATTGTGTTTCAGGCCTGCACAGCATTGGTTATACAACTGACCACAACAATGGCTTGAAGCAAAGGGGAATATTGAAAGCCAATGACGAGACGCGCCATAGGTCTTCTTTGCAAAATGGTCTGGAGGCTTGACGCAGAGGACGATTGGTTTTAATGCCACAGGGACAGAAGATAGACGAACAGTTTGACTCGTGGTTTGTGGCTACATTTAAAATGCACCATTCGGACTACCATTTGAACAGAGTTGTTTTTACGAGATACGCACACAGGATGTATAATATCGATATCTATCTTTATCGAATTCTGCCAGGTGTTTTGTTCTCGGAACATTAATTCTACGTCACCCAGCAACACATGAATCTACCTACTTCGCAGGTAAATATCGAGAAAAGTGCCTTATAAACACGCCGCGTGTCATTATTGGTTTGGATTACCCATGCCAATTTAAGTCTAGAACTGATAAGAATAAACGCATTACTGGGAAAATGAAATGCTTGCGAGGAAACTGCGCATTTCTACAAACACAGTCATTAGACATATATTGTCAGGTGAGCACGCAATGAAAAAGAATTTCAATGGTAAAAGGAATAGAAAAATGAATTGATTTTGCAATAAAGATAAAATTACGTGACCAGGAAAAAAAGAGACGGAAGCTTATGGTTGGGGAAGGAGTTATAACGGACGCACTCGCCACACGCACACCAATGCGATAGAATCTCCGCCATGGTTAGTATGAGGCGCAAGAAAGCCGTTTGGCGTAATTTAAAGGGGATAATATATGTGGTAGTGATGCTAGGTATCCTGTACACACTTCTTACAATACAGAGCCTGGTAATACACGACAGCACGTTGGAGGCGGGGACAGACAAGGCCGCCAAAGGTTCCCAGTTTGTCTATCAAGTGCCAATAGAGATTCAAAGCTTGAACCCGGTGTACGATGCCGATTTAATGTGGCTCAATGAAAGTGATATTGAAAATGATGATCTGAATACAAAAACAACCATTTCTGAGGACACACCATCGTTGACGGTATCCATTTCACCGATGCGCTATCATAGGCGTCCCATAATACCCTTGAGGCAACGCGCGAACAAAACGCTTCCCTCTGGCATTCCAATGATCATTCACCAAACTTGGAAAACTCGCCAACTCCCGCCTCGTTTTCGCAAATGGTCTCGTTCTTGGAGGCGATGTTTCCCGGAATGGGAACTATGGCTGTGGACGGATGAAAGTAGCAAACGGTTTATTTACAAAAGATACCCGTGGTTTTTGGAGAAATACAGATCGTACGACCAGGAAATAAAACGAGCCGACGCTGCCAGATATTTTATCTTGTACCATTTCGGTGGACTGTATGTGGACCTCGATTATGAGTGTCTCAGGCCTTTTGATCACCTCCTTGATATTCCTTTGGTTTTCGACTCCATGAGAGTTGGGAACAAGTGGGCGTATGCCAATGGTACTTTTCCTTACGTGCAAAACTCATTCATGGCTTCCACAAAAGGACATCCATTTTGGATGGAGGTTGGTATGGTGATGGCTTAAAGCACTCGACCCCTGTCCAATTTATATCCTCTTAAATGTTTATTTGAGTATTTATTTGTTTATTTATACTTTTTGTTTTGAATCAGCATTGAAAATAGATTTTGTTTTCTAAAATCACAAAATTGCTGCTTCATGTAAATCTTGGGCAAGGTTTGCCAATGTTTGTTAAATTTCATTTGATGCCGTAATTGCTATAATTGGCAAACATTTGCGAAATGAAATAGCTATAATGCATTATTGATTTCGTGCAGGGAACAATTTATTGAAGGAAATGTGAAGGGAAACGGAACGCTTTTGTTTTTTTCACTTAAATTATATCAACGACTGTAGACAGGAAGCCAATGAAGTATCTGACAGCTAGCGATGATTGAAATTGGGTTTTGCCGACTAGATATGTCAAAATTATACAATGCAGGCAATTGGAAACCTAAGTGCGTTGCATTTTGCAAGGCTGATGATTGTTGCGAATTCCGAGCTGGACAGTGCGATTGGGGTTTATAGTGTTTTGTACCGATAAGCTCGTGTTCGTCACAATAATTATTCAATGAAAAGTTTGGAAACTATGTGCACAATAGCATTTGCAGAATATATCAATTATAAATACCCTATGGGAAACCAGTGACGTCAGTCCCTACCCAATATATCAGACACAAGGGGGAGCCCAAGGCGCAACGCATAATTCTTTTGTCAGTCTGTTGTTTGTAACATATTCATGCTGTGTAACAATATATACGATGGTCCAAATTTGTGCCTTACTCAACCTAAACGCTCGGTAAAATTCCAAATAAACCATCTTAGATAAAGCGAGTGCGGTGCAAAACATATTAAAGCTGGCAAAATTTATCAGCTATTATTTTCTTAATTGATTTGTAGAACAACAGTCATTTGCAAAGTAGCGTTTTTTTTCTTCATTTCTCGGACAATATTCCCGGTGTATCGTTTCAACCCCGTTACTGAAAGGTTAGTCACCCCCCCCCCTTTGACATCAGACAGTGCGCATTTTAGGCAGTTTGGCATGATTTCAATTATTATTTAGCGATCCCTAACTCAGTGTCCGTCCAAGTATATGAAATATGAATAAAGAGCAAGGCCTCTTTCATATACTTGCACTTACATTGCAAAAATGTTACAGGATAAAAAAAAATCAATAACACATTAAGGTCCTATATCAGGAAAAGGCTTTTTAGCAGTTTCCTTACATTATGTCTAAAATCACATGACGTTCAATAATTTGGCTCTGTTTTCTATCACCTCGTTTTTTGGCACATTTACTCGGTTGTGTGGAGACTGGCGCCGCTATTGTCTCACAGGGGGATAAACCCCTTAATGTGATCTACAAATATGTTTGCACTCAGAATTTGCGGCCTTTTTTTTTATCTCAGTTTGCATTGAGGCATATTTTAAGTTTGATTATCTCTCTCTCTCTCTCTCTCTTCGTTGTGTAGAGTGGAGGGAAGAATGACTATGGGCACGTATAGAGAGCACGTATATTCGTTATGTATCTTGTTGCTTTTATTTCACTGACTTTACTATACATGAAATGCTCTATCTTATAAAGGCATATTATATAAAAAAACATATTTATTGCCCAACCCAATCGTTTTATTCATTCTCGATCAGTCTTTTCTATAGCAAATGGTCATCCCGAGGTAGAAGTTATAAATACATGCAGTATAGAGGTATACGCTCACCTGGTTATAGTCAAATATTGTTGTAATTACAAAAGACCATCCTTACAAAATTTTTTTCATTTACTTGCAATAATTGATTGAAACCACAGAAAGCGACCTGCTAATGTATTTTTTCGCTGATATTCAAGTTTGATTTATCGTGTGCAACTCCGGCCAATGTATCGATGAGTAACGGAGTAACAAACCCTGACAGTTGTTGGAAACGGACGTTGTCACAAACCTAATAATTGAAGACAAGTTAACGTCTTACGGTTGACTAAGGTTCTGTCATTTCTACTTTGAGTAGATTAAGTTGGCAACTTCCGCACAAAGAATCTATAGTGGAACTAGTGGTAAAGGTTGATTCTCATTGTAGTAGTGAAGGTCTACGACTTTTTAGTGTCTCGAATATTTAGCCACCTGAGTCAGTGATGAGTAATTCTGCATTTATCATAAAATGAGTTCAGGTTGCGAGGTAGGTATTTCCAAAATGGAATAACAAATTCATCCCTATATCTGCCCTTAACGTGAGGTTAAAAAAGAGCCAAAATTCAAATTACCACAGAACACTCCGAAATACTCTAGCTACAGGGTTACCACTTAATATGGAATATTATTTTTTGGCGAGTAAATTTTCTACAAAATATTTTATTTCTCTCTAACTGTTTTAAATCTAAAACTGAGGTGTCACTCCATGTGTAGCCAGGTGTATTACCTAATTACCACACAACTCTCGAAACAATTGATGCATGCAGTTGCATGTTCTGTGGTCAGAAATGTGAGTGGTGATCTTTTCGGCAATTTCTGCCCTTGTACAAAAACACATGGGTTTGGTCAATCTTTGGAGTGTGTTTAGAGAAGCAACAAAGGGATCGCTCTGAAACTTGACAGGTACCTTAGTGAAGATATGGTTCGACATCTACGCAACGCAGCTTACTATGGGATTCTTGCTCTCAGAGAAAATGGCCAGAAACAGACAGCAATTGCCAGGTAATTCAACATTTAACAGGAACCGTTTGTAAAGTCCACCAAAGAAATGCTGCAACAGGGGCACCTACTCCAATACCTCGACCATGGTGTCCCCGTATCACACTAAGAAGACAGGACCGCCATCTCCTTAGAGGACGCCGTGCTGGTCGTACAAAGACAACCAGTGTCCTCAGAATAGAGAGGCAGAATGTTATTTAAACGCCCGTTTCAAGGTCCCTCGAGAACAAGAGATTACTGCATGCCAGTTATTTTGCACGAAGGCCAGTAGAGAAACCACCGTTAACAGCAGGTCATATACAGCGACGTCTGCAATGGGCTGGGGACCACGTGCGTTTGCAGCCAAAACACTGGAATCGCGTCGTTTTCAGTGATGAGGCCAGATATGAATTTTTTTGGGTTGATGGTCGAATCCGTGTTCACCGACGTGTACGAGGGACATAAAACGATGATTGTGTACTGCCTAGGGTGCAAGCAGGGGATGGTAACGTCTCTGTTTGGGGAGCATTTCATGTCGGTGCCCAGAGCCAGTTGGTTTCTCTAGGAGGCAACTTCATCCAGGATTCCTACAGAGGCATACTACAGCAAACAATGCTTCGATAGGTAAGAGTCATCTTCAGGAACAAATTTGTGTACCAAGACGACTGCAAAACCCCACATCAAGCTCGCAGAATCACTGTTTTTCTTCAAAACCAATGGGTTCAGCAACTGCCCTGGTCTGCAAACTCTCCAAATTTGAACCCAATTGAAAAACTTTGGGCAAAAGTAACTCACAGAATTAATAGCTATGGTCATCATCCGGTAAAAAGTGATGAATTGCGACAGGCAAATATCACTGCGTGGAATGACATCCCCATCCAAACTCTAAAAAAACGTGTCACAGGATATGCCATGTAGGATGAGGGCTCTGCAAGCGGCTGCTGGAGGTCATACCCGCAATTACTGACTTTTCATGATTTACTGTTGTGAGTTCTTTGACTGTGTAACATATCACTGTCCGGAGGCTATCATTTTCTTTAATACCTTAGCTTAAAGTTAATACTGACATCAAACTGTTGATATGGTTTTCTGGGGGTGTTCTTTCTTTTGAATGGCATCTTATGTCAGATTTGATATTATTGACCAAAATATCTCACAACAGAAGACTGGATGTTTGTATCACTCAGTGACATACGTTTTTTGATGAATCCAGCCAAAAAAATTAAATCAGCACTCAAAAATAACAATGATAAAAAATATTCCATATTAAATAGCAACCCTGTAAATGGTGCCATTTCTTTCTTATCATTAACACCCCCTCCCACCCCTTTTTCAAGTCGTTCACCAGTGAAATCATGGATTATTGTGTGCAACGGATGTAGTTATAGACAAGGATGCGTTGAGACGAAAATAATCCATTACCTCGTTTTGCGTTTTCGGGGCATTTTGTTCAGTACAAGATGAACGGTCTTGTTCCATACGCGCACACAAAGCACCGAATTGCGTGTTCTATACAAGGTGATAATGACACTATTTGTCTTATTGACAATCTCCAGATGGCTCCAGTTATCATCCTTCATCAGATAATCTATCGTCTGGCAACTGTCTAGGCGACTCTTCTGGAAGCATTATTTTAAACTACACTGGCGAAGAATATCTTTAGGAACTAGGCAGTATTAAAAATGTAACCTTTTGTAGAATCATGTTGGGTTATCTGTAACATATACAAAAGACTAGACAGCATTTTGGCCTCTAAAAAAAGATAAAAGAAGTGGGTCCGATGCATGCTACCACATATTGGGAAAGAAAAAAAAAGATCGCATGTTCTACCTTGCATTTTTTTTTTCTGTTTTACTTTCTTGCAAACTTGATCTTAAATTCGAATAGGTTATAGTCTCTTCACGTTTTTCTTATTGTCAATTGCTACTTGTCCACTGACTCTAAATGGTTCTAATTCCCCTAACTACATCGTTCAAATTCTAATGATAGGAGATAGGTGAATGCTTCAATAAATGTTGTTGTTTTTTTCATATTTCATAATCCGACACCTTCAGGTCATCCAAGAAATGACCACCCGTTCCGGTGACCAGTGGCCGCAGGGGGCGACCGGACCTTACCTCATCATGGACACACTGAGGAACTACTCCCAATCCCACAGCGACTTCCGGATCTACCCTCCGCAATATTTCAACCCTTTCAGCTGGGACATCTACGATAACCCGTACTGTAAGGACCTCAATGCTATGACGGACAGAGAGATTGACCTCTGTAAAAGTCAATATCCTGGTGCCTATGCTATTTCATATCATACACAGACGTGGGGGAAGGGGAAGATTCTTTGACTACAAGAAGTAGGCCCAATGGGTTTAAACATAACGCGCTTCCATTTTTGAAATTAATCAGATGTAGGGGATCCCGCACTCTTAATTTCACTTTAAGTGTGATTTCAGACTCAAATATGTCACACAAAACAAGAAGAAGTGACTAACCATGCATGTGCTTCTCGACTGCAGAAAAAGACACCCTACCGTAGCACGGAGTAAGATAAAACCAATGAATGCCATTGAAACGGTTTCATAGATTTGAATTGAAATTACTCAGTAACATAGTTGTGGTATTGAAAGAAAGAAAAAAGTTGAATGTATCAGAACTGATGGTAGAACTTGCTTATTAATGTCTGACAGCAACGCAATGCTGTATTATGATAAAAAAATTAGTTACGAATGCGACTAATGAGAAATGAAAATCGGATAGGCTTCATTTCTATAGAAAAACGGTGCATCATCAAGGCATTTATTTTAAACTTAATAACTGTAAATAAATGAATTTTATGTTATTAACAAAGCTTTTTTTCTTGTGGACACACGTTATCTTGGAATCTCAAGCATACAATTGACGTGGTTTAAATTACCTGGATACCAATACTGGTGATATCTTAATTGCACATTTAGATCCTTAACGCAGCCGAGATAAATCCCTCTAGGTTGTGTGGGGATGTGTGCAAACACATTTCATTCACAGATTTCATACGTTTCACCGTTTGAACACACTGCCATGGTACTTTGAATGGATAGGGGTGTGGCAGGAATGGTAGTCCTAGGAATGGAAGTCCGAGCTCCAATATAATTAGGGTTAGTCGGAGTATTGGGGTTAGTATAAGGGACGAATGTAATCCGTACAAAGTAATGGGGAACAGAATGCTGTTCTTAGCGGACTACCATTCCTGCCACAGGTGCCTAGGCTTTTCACCGTGGAACCTGCTGTCAGAAGACAATCTAAAGACACATTACCTGAACATGCATTTTCACGTCCTGTTACATCCGTTACCCTGCATTTGAAAACGTTTGTTGATGCAAAGGCCATTTAACCGCAAAGTAATTTATCATTGAAAGCACGTTTGTGTAACACATTACCGTCCTAAATAGCACAGATAATTAAGCTAATGTGTGCTTAAGCTATTTAATAGTCACCCAGTGAATAATGAACCACATTTTTACCAATGCCGATGGCAAAGCGTCTACCCAAGGCACCGTCACTTTAAACGAGTCCTTGGACACACTATTATAGATCCACCATAACATCCGGAGAGTTATTTTGGCGTGCACTTGTTCGCTATGCCATGAAAGCAACCGTTAGGTCAATGGATCCTTGTAGAAAGTGGCGGCCATGAATAACACGAGGTCCGTGGAAAATGTAAGCATGGATCAGACTCAGAGTGTATGGTAGTTTAGTTATCCACTGGGTGAAATATGATCAAAAGCAAGAGGGTTGGTACGACATGGACAGCGCAGCGAGTGCTTTGTATATGTACGGCAATTGTTATGTATATCATACCAGGTAAGTGCAATCGAACATCCCAGTTGTAAATGTATGATTATGAACTGTGGGCTGTACCTACATGTAAATATCAATATAGAAATTAATGTCAAATGAAACAAAGAAATTTAAACTGATATCGAGTGCACAGTTTATGTGGAGGCTGTGTGCTTTTAGAAGCATAGAGGTGACTTTATTCATTGTTTTCTTCTAGAGATAGATGGCTCGGATATAGAGACAGTATCATCTACATTCAGCTCAGAAGAAATAGAGCACATATTAAAACTGCACAACGTCGGTAGAGATAGCGTGGTTCCCCCGGCCGCTAATATGAAGTCAATGGTCTGCATAAATATTACAGATGATTTAGACATCATTTTAAATTAACAACAAGCTTTTGTTTTGCATAAATGGTCAATAGATTAGCAATATAAAGGGATTTTAAGAAGGACCTGAGTCGACCACGCCTACACAACAAGAGAGTAACTGTCATTATAAGTAAGTCGTTTATTAATACCGCTTTATATAGACAGTGAGAGTTGCAACAGTAAGTTTATGAAAACCAGTATCTCTACGTTGGTTGTGCCTTTATATCAATCAGCTTAAAACACTAGCAACCCGTTAAAATAGGTTTGGGACAAAGCAGTCGAAGTCACGGCACAATATTGGGCTAGTAACTGCGAATGGCGACACGGGAACGTGATATCTCGAGAATCTCATCTATATCAAAGCCGGATAGGACAAAACTTGTACGCAGTGGCGGGAACCACTAGACCACGTGTAGATGACATCATGAAGGGTTGGTACTCTGAAGAAAAGGAGTGGTATGATCATACTAGTAACACATGCCAAGAAGGGCGCATGTGCGGCCATTACAAGCAGGTGATGTTTCATCAATTAATAGATTTAAAATACCTTAGACTTCTTAAAAACGAGGTGCTGCAAGCCTACCTAACGCATTGCTTTTTTGCATAGTTAATGATATAAATATATTTGTTTGATATCAAATATAGACAGCCAGCAAAGTTCCCTTTATATAAACAGTATTTTTATCAGCCACACATTATTAAGAGCTAAATCATTTTGCTCATCCCCGTTTGGATAACAGAGAATATAATTGTGACGCTCGAGGTGTTATGGCATGTATCACTCGGGTGACAGTGTATTCTCACACATATAATTGTGTTAGTTGTGCCTAGCATGTGCCTGGTAGTAGCATTGCGAGGTCACACAAATTCCATTTCCTTACAATACAGGCAGTGTGGTGGAACAGTTACCTCATCGGCTGTGGGATAATTCTGTGTCATTCTGGTTCAAGAAACGCCTTTGAAGATTACGACGGGCCTTGGTATTTTGTCGTTTGTAACTACTTTCCAGGGTAGTACATATTTCATTTTGTAATGGTCCACACGTCTTTGTCAACCAGCAAGTTAGTTTTAAGGCAACGGGTTTTGTGAATGTCCTACAAGCTATTTGTATAGCAGTATAACTTATGTTGATTAGTATTATTGTTTGCAATATTACACAAGTAACTAAGAGATCACAATTGGCTTAACATCAGTATCGCCAAAACTTCTTCTTCAACAGATTGTATAAAAAGGTCACAGACTGGGCGATTGTGAGCTCTGTATATTTAACTGAAAAATAATCTCAAGGTTAGAATTAACAGTACGGGAAAAACTATGGAGACTTTATTATTAATAAATATTTTTCAGTGGCAATATTAAAGGACAATTACCGTACGTGTCTGGCACGCCTTGCTCTCTGTGTACCCAGGACACGTTGAACTCCGGAGATTGTGTGTCCGGACTGTGCCGTAAGTCCTCTAAGTTTTATATTAATATTTATCACAGCCTGGCTCGTGATAAAAGTGATTGACTGTTGCATCCACATCTCCCCCGCCCCGTGACTCACAGATAACCAGCAACCAATAATGCGGTTATTCAGATCTTTAAAAAGTAATATATACTAATTTACTATTTATTTTAACAAATGCAGAACTTCCATATAAAATTGTCTGTGTATTTTATAACGTTCCTTCTTGTTCCATCATAAACATCTTGAAGAAAATAATATTAATATTGTAATATCATAAAGGTAACCCCAAAAAGAATAAATGCACCGTTTACATTGCAGAAATATGTTATCTTTTTCAGTCACGAAACATGAGTGCTCTTTGTTTCCAGATCGGTGTGGTACGTCGCTTTTTTTCAACGTCAGATCGAAATTCAGCTGTTAAGCTTCTCCTTAGCTTTAACCTTGTAGTCCTTTTATGCAATCAAGTCTATTTGCGATGAATACAGACGTTAACGTTATTTCATCATCATAATCTACACAGCAAACACAGAACGGTTTACACGATATCAAAACGTTACCATAGCGTCTTTTGCCTAATAAACGTTATGGCAACGTTATAATAACGATGTGTGTTTTCTGGGTAGTCGACTAAGATCTTGTGCTTTTTTAAAAGAATAAATCCTTACTTACATAGCATTCCAAAAAGGTGGAATCATTTCTTGGAATGTTTACACCTGATTAAGATTTTGTGCGATTGCCACATACATGTATGTTTGATTGTAGGGACCACAAATGCCAAGAGCTACCATTATAGTACGAAAGACCCGCAATACATTGTAATAATCCTTGGAACCTAGAGGTCAGCACGTAGTTGTGACTGTATGATATATCTGTCTGAAATGTTTTCAGCGTGGAAGAGTGGTTGTGAATGGGCAATAACCTGCTACAACCAAGGGACCCCTACCTATGAAAACTGTTCTTGTATATGTACCGAGAAGTGGTCAGGGACAGATTGTCGTGAAGGTACGGGTTTGGCAGAGGGGGAGTCAGGTTATTTACACTGTATCTGGTCATAACTTCGAACATAGCTCCAGTAAGTAGACATTCTGTATACCCGTATAAATTTACGCATTATCTCGGCTAATTAATTCCGAGCGTGGAATAAACCCAAAGGCGCTCAGAGGAAATGGCCGACGGCGGGTGCCGTATGAATGACATTTTCTTGCATAATTAATGCTGGGCGAGCTGCAGCTAATTTTTGTGTTCATCTTGTTGAAATAAAGGCAAAATACTAAAAATAAGATGTGTTTTATTTTTTACAGAGAAATGTCCAAAACCAATCAAATGTGCGAACGGCAGACCGTATAACTTTGACAGTTGCAGATGTGAATGTGGAGAATACTTTACTGGACATCATTGCGAAAAACGTGAGTTGGGATTCACACTTAACAAATCCGAATGTGAAATTCTGTATATCACAATTGCAACGATGAGAAGTATTACATACAACGGTACCAAAATCATTGAAACCAATGAAACAAAACGCACGTAAATTTATAGTAGGTGTACATGAGTAATTATCTCAACATTGGTTGCGGGTGAAAATGCAGTACTTAAATGTGTTTGCAAACAAAAGCAGTCGCCTCATAAACAACCATATACCGGTAGATACATATGCATTTTTTTCTTCCAATATGCAAGCGTTACTGTCTAAAATGGGAGACAGCGGCAGAGACAATCCAAAGATATGTACCGTGCCGGGCATGCGCAGACTGTGTGACTACCATCTTGTAGGAACTACGGAGCTTGTCAGGCATATGTTCTGCCCACAGCTTTGTGGCGGAGTCAGTGGTAAGACTGTTACCATTACTATGGAGTGTTTAAGGTACATTGCGGGGCAACACTCACGTGTAGAAGTAAATGAATAATCCTTGTTTAGATTGCAGTCAGGTCCTTTGATGAGGCGGTTTTTTTTTTAATTTGGCTCGTAGACTAAATAGATCACTGAATAGATAAGGAAAACCATGTTCAGCAATGTTACATGTTACTTCCATCAAATTCCCATGGCCATTCCTATCTGTGAATGTTGCATGTCCTATTACAAAATTATATTACAAATTTCCTTTATCATTTCTGTTTTTCAGCCGTACCTGACTATAATTCTCCAAAGGAAAATTTCTTAGAACTTATTTCGAGCTGTCGGTTAAATAACTGATTTTCTCTTTATCTTTTTTTTACAATCAGTAGAGTTGTAACATCAAATACACATAGCGAGCAATGAAGTGCAATTTCAGTCTTATTTCTGTGTTTGTTGAGGATCAGATATAGAAATTATGTGTATATTAATTGTTGTGTAAATAAGACAAAAATATATTCATTAAAACTCTCATTGTTTCGTCTTCTTATTTTTTTTCAATAGATCGCGCCTCCATATCCTCAGTTAAGAAATAAAATATTTGACAAAGCAACACAATGCCTCTCCCAATATGTTGTTGAAACATTATAGATATATTGCCAAAACAGAAATATCTGCGGTTGAATTTGTAATATTATGTATTCTACTCTTGTAAAAAAAAAGGCATATTGTCTTGAAAATAAGATCTGTTTTGTAACAAAATTCCACTTTTATTTAATGTAGCACAGTTATCTAAAGGAGCACGAAACCGCAGATGTATATCAACAAAGGTGATAGCATGTTCGAAAACGAAATTATGGAATAACATTCCTCAGTGTTCTTAGCATGGTGTCAATAAGAAAAAGTAAAAAAGAAAACATAAACATTTGTTTTTCATTTAATTTACCCTATTGAGGATTTGTGTTGTGTTTTGTGTTTGAAATTCTAAAGTTAGTAAATGTTGTACAGCTGTCCTAAACAGTGAACATATGCAGCCCTCAACAACTGCGCGGAAGGTGGGAAAGAAGCTTCTCTAGATAAAACGATACAATATCGGTTGCAAATTGCACAAAATACAACATGTACGTCATCATCAGCGAAGATATGAACAAGGAGTCAGGAGGGTCGCAACAAATTACTTTATAGAGATCTGACTAACCGCATTATTGGTTGATGGTTATCTATGGGTATCAGGGGGTGGGGGTTCAATAGTTAATCATTTTTATCACGAGGATTTGAGTTGATAAATACTTATATATAACTTCGCAAAACGTTCACTCTGTTGTGCTTGGGGCTGTTAAACAGCATCAAATCTCTTATGAAAAAGTAAAGAGACAACGTGGAAAAGTTAACATTTAGTCTAGCGAATATTTCACCGTGATCAGAACAGCAAAGAGAGGTCAAGGTCAATATTTAAAGCCCAGAGGATAGGTGTCAAGTGCCCGGCCGGTTCAGTCTTGTGCTCTCTTTGACACCTTTTGAAACATTGGATATAATCAACGTGTGAAATTGAACGTGTATGCTTCGTACCGATAGACAAAACTCAGATAATTGATTCCAAACGCAAGAAGCTGCATTCATCAACAATGGACATGAAGACAAGATTCAGCTGTTTTGTCCTTTGCAGTGTATTTTTAGGTTGTTGTCTCTGCCACAGTAAGTCACTTTTATTTCTTTGCTATAAGGTTTCTTTTAGTTTTCTAAGTATGAACAATTTGTATATATTTAGATCGAAAATGAAAAAATCGTTTCTTTTTTCAAGGGTAAAATACATAAGGTAATTTAAAATTCAAACAAACAAACGTTATCTTGCCTACAGTAACGCCAAGTAGGCGGCTCTTATGCCTCCTGTGTCCATTAAAAATGACAAACAGCTTTGGTTTGGTTGGCCAGAAATTTACACAACCCTAGATTTGGAGATCAAGAGTCTGATATAAGTGTAGTTAACTTGTTATTAGTAATGGGATGGGATTAAATAAGCAGGCAGCTAGGTGTTTAAGTAACTTAAACTGATACCAGGACGAGATAAATCGCTATTTTTCTTATCAGTTAATATATGTACAGCGTTTTAAAGGTCAGAATGTCTGCATTCTTAAAGTGAATTGTATCAAACTAAACCGTTTATTTCACCTTTATCAGTAAGTTTGCTGATGCATTTTTAATGCCAGCGAGATGGCGTGTGATTACATTAGGGGTTTTCCAATTATTTTATGTGTTATATAACACTAGCAAAATCGCAAATGCTTGTCATGGCACTCCAGCTGGTAAACCCACCTTGTCTTTAATCACGATGTTAATAAAAAAAGTTAATTAACTTAAGCTTATTCCATCTTTACCCTGCCAAACATAATCTGTTCGAGTTTAAAGTGTATCTTGTTTTCTTTTATGTAAGTCGATCAATTGTTTTTTGTGCATATACAAACTCAGCAATATACTGTAGAAGTCTGGGTTGTGCAAACGATTGTATGAGATTGGCTTGTTCTTCGAAAAAGGCAACTGAAAGTAAATACATTAAATGGTTTGCTAGGTGGGTATCAATCCATGCCAGTGGTGCTATTGGTAACATAATTATCGATTTCAATAAAAATAAATCTCCACGTTTTTTCTTAGTCAAGGAATTTTATCAAACAACGACATGTTCATCTTATAAAGACGACAGGTCGCTTCATGACGCCCACGTTTACCCCTTGAGAAGCAGGCGGTCCTCTGTAATGAAGTATACAGAAACAGAGAAGATGGAACTTCTAAACCTTCATAATCAATATCGCAGAAGCGTCTCCCCCACAGCTGCTGATATGAGACACATGGTAAGAGTTTTAGAATTACATTTACTGTATACCAATAGCTCATCTTCTGATTGAGGTAGAAGCAGAGTAAATGATCTTGATCTTGGACAATATTTCTGTCCGGAATTGAGCACAAAGTGTTTAAAAAGCATAACTTTTACTTTATAGACGTATCTACATATAGTTTAATGGTGTTTTTCAAATGGATTGGTGTTACTTAAACCCTTGTTCCAGATCTGGGACGTTGACCTGGCCGACATAGCACAGAAGTGGTCTGAGAACTGCCACTGGGACCATGGGTACCCCTCTGCAGGGACGCCGTACGCCAGAGAGAGGATGGGTCAGAACATTATGGCACAGTCATTGACCCCGCCCTCGACTGTAACGTAAGATGATCCTATATTCTCTTGTTATTATTATTTTCTTTATTCTTTTGCTGGTCTACATTTTAAGATTTTTGTTTATTCTTCGGAAAGATAATAAATATAACAATTCTTACCCTGGTATTTTGTCTTGACAGCATTACTGAAAGTGAGCTACATTTTGAGATTTTCACCATGGTGAATTTTTTACACTGATGAAATATCCATTGATTCTTGTTAGGTTTCCAGTGACAGCGTGGTTCGAGGAATACAAACTATGGAACTACACACGGAATAAATGCCAACCTGGGACAGAGCACCATTGTCTACATTATACCCAGGTGATGGTGAATAAGAAGAAATAAAAAGGATAGAATTATACAAAAAATAAGAAATAACTAAATCATCATATAGTTACATTTTTAAAATTTTGAATTTTATATGTTTACTATTGCATTAACTGTATTTAAGCTAATGGATAATAATAATAATAATATCATCTTTATTTTCTTATTTTGCCAGCTAATTATCACTGAGGGATCTTACGCTTCATAACATTTTTTTATTCTACGCGTCAAATCGATACGTAAATGTGCTCAGCATTTATTTTCTATTCATTTGTACGTGATATACATGTGCTTTGAGGATTTGTACTATACAGGGGTATATATAAGTTAAAGTGGGACTCACAATGTTAGACAATGTGTAATGAATAAATTAAAATGGAGCGCATATATACTATCCTACAGACAATGTCTATTAAATGTTGTACGATTGTAAATTGAAAAAAAGTCTGTATAATAACTTACCAAGTTTTTCTCCTGTCTATTGTCCGGCACCTCTTTCACATTTGCTTTGGTTTACATAAATTGCAAGCAATTTTGACGTGGCCTCTGTACTCATTATGTTGCACTAAACAGGTGCTATTATTTTGATGTGGTTGATCACACGATGAAAATGGCCACAGCGACTCTAATCCAATATTACTTGCTCATTGCCCTTCACCTTTGTCCCGCATACATTTCATTGAACATTCTAATTTCTGATTTCTTCAGCTTGCATGGTCAGCGAGTTATCGCATGGGATGTGGCATGCACCGCTGTACAGTCGGGTCTCCATGGAAGAACCAACCGCTGTTTGCCACGTGGTACTACGTAGTCTGCAATTATTGGCCAGCGTATGTATGACGAATGTAGTGCAACCTGTAGTACCCTCTCAAATCAAACATATTTTAAGAATAGGTATCATTGAGGGTGAGGTGGTTTTCAAAATAACAGTTTTAATTGTGAATGATCATGTTTTTGTGTTTCGTAGTTCTAGTGTGAGATAGAATTATAAAGGCCTAAATATTATGTATTCAATATAACTAAAATTGCATAAACGGTTATTTGCACTACCATATTTTAAAAATTAATTATCTTACACGATCATTCTATATTACGTTATTGTTGTATAATGGGTAGAATCAAAATATATGATGTACATTCTCGCCAAATACCTCTGGTGAATAGGCTACATTAACTGCCGTAAAAATAAAGAAATGATATAAATATACTAAAAAAGCACTCCGAGAGCGCAGACCTCCACCAAGGCAGCAATTTTTTATTATTATTGATGGATTATTGATCCAGATCACCACCAAAAACTAATCTCTTCTAAGTTAACCCATTTCTGACCTACCGTGAAAATTCCATCGAAATTCATGGATAACTTTTTGAGTTATGTTGATGACAGACAGACAGACAAACAAACAAACATGGGTAAAAACATAACATCCTTGGCGGAGGTAAAAATCCAAACGGTATCCCTCTCTTACAGTGGGAACAAGGCCTGGCTCAAACCCTTCAAGGCCGGTCCTCCTTGCTCCAAGTGCTCTGAGAACCCCGAGAATACAGGAGACTGCCAACAGGGGTTATGCGGTGAGCTGTGTGCCCTAATTTACATATGGGTTCAAACTCATATAAAAACCCATATTAATTTTTAAATACTTTAAAGTATCTCTACCGTGAAATTATAAAAAACGCTGTAAATTACGTATAATAATGTTATACACAATATGACATACTAGTGATGTGTTACCCATTTCTGTTTCTATTTCGTTAAAATGCATCTCTTCTCGTCTTTGCAGTTACAAAGGATGAGTGTCAGAAATATCCTTCGCATTGCAGTAAGTAAATTAAGGCAAATAGTCAATTCTTATTGCTCAATCCTTATTCATTTATTTATTCATCTGTATTCAACTTCATATATTTGTCTATTTATTTAGCCCATCCCAAATAATAATAATTATTATATTAACAATAATAATAAAAATAATATAGTATACTTCTTGAATGTTAAGTGTAATATTATTACATGCATTGTGTATTACTTATTTCAAATATGGGCAGACAAAAAATGACTTATGGTACAGTGTTTGATCAAACAGTCCTACAAGACTACAAAATATGTTGCCATGTGCAACCGCACCATTCTGGAATTATCACCTTACAAAATAAGAAGTCCAGACGACACTTCATTTCAGGTGCTCCAGACCCTTGTCTTGGTAAGATACTGACGTGTGAAAACTGGGGGACTCCGGACTATGACACGTGCACCTGTCGTTGTCACCCTAATTTCTACGGTGCAATGTGTGAGAAAGGTGAGTGTAGAGGCCCGTTCGTGTCGACAGATCGAGAGGTGGGAATTTAAAATCAGAGTTGGGTCGCAAAATATATTCATTTAAACTTCACCGTCATTGAAGCTTCACCGTCGAGTTACTGTCAGTACTGTCTGCTATCCACTACAGACCCTTCTGTAAGCTCTTACCAAATCGATTGAACCCTGTTTAAAACAGCTAGAATAGAAGAGCGCATTGCCCGTAGCGTACCACTCTTTCATTTTAAGCTACATGTATCTGATTATGCTTAAGCTGAATCTTCTACATTCTGGATAAATTGGCATTAAAATAAACTTGTTCTTTTTATTTAGCAAAGTGCCATAATGCACTAACCTGCGAGAATGACGGGGACTTTGACCCCAGCACATGTACCTGTGCATGCTCCAACTACTTCACCGGAAGCCGTTGCGAAAAATGTACGACTTGTGTATTATGGTGTTGAGGAGATATTTGAATAAGAATTAAAAAAAAATAGTCTTTATTATTTAGTTTAAAAAAATCAAATGAATTATGAAATATTATATGAAATATTATATAAAATATATGAAATCAAATGTATTATGAAATAAATCTTTAACGTTTGCAGATTGTTAGCTAGTAACATTGTGTTTAAAACAAGTGAAATTATGTCTTTAGTTAACTTCAGACAACATTCAAAGAAAACACGTAAAATCACTTATAAATGTGAATATCTAATTTTTCAGACAACTGCCAAGCTATGGGCAACAGAGGTCGTGACAGCTACAGGTGCGCAAGAATGCCAAGACGAGCCTGTACCAAAGGGTGGCATATCCGCGGGGAGAAGGAAGAAATTCGCCTGAAATATTGTCCCAAAAAGTGTGGTCTTTGCTTATAATATATATTGAACGTGTTTTTTCTGTACCGACTTTAAAATATCAAATAGTTATTACACGTATAAGGAAAATGCTAACAAATAATATTGGCCTACTGTACATTTATGTATATTTTATGTAAGTAAGCTACTTATACGATGATAAATGACATATAGTTAAAATTTCATTTTTTTAATACGACGAAGAATGACATAATTTAAAATCTGATTTTTTAAAATAACTCGATGCTAAAACGCAATTACTACGGGTCTGTACAATTTGAAGCAAACCTTTGTTCGTACCACTAACTCTGATTTTGTGCCTTAATGTTTAGTAAGGATGAGGGACTCTATCATATAAATTACATCACGTCAATTTTAAACACAATGCCGCCATAAGGAACCATTTGATCATGATATTATTACTAAGCTAAAGTTGTCAAATGAGAACTGATCGAAGCTGGGATCTTTGGGATAAGACATTTGCTTTGTGGAATGCAAGCCGAAATATGATTACATGTTGCCAGTAAATTATCTACTGATTAATTTCATATGTGAGTCTAGATCTTGTTTTTTTTTTTTTAAATCTAATTTTTAGCTTCCATTCTGTGCTGGCATACATATACAAGTGACACACCAACAACTGCATTTTTCAGTTGGCCACCCACTTCCGGTGTTGGCATGTTATAATTGGCATCTTGGAGTCAAACTCTGTATTTTGTTGGTGGACCAGCCATACGGCCATTTTTCACTTAAGTAGCTAGGCCAAATCGTGACCAAAACTACATGTACATGTGTAGATAGGATTTATCTTCGTCTGACCATATAGGCCTACCGTGAGAAAATAACATTTGTCGCTATAACTATAGTATATAACACTACGGTATATATTTCATATCTTGATCATACTAGTATGCACATTGTCTTGTTAATACTTGCATCATTTTAAGGATCGAAGAACGACCGGCTCGGTACAACTCACTAGTATGGGTGCTTTGCTACCATTCACTCTCGCACTCCTTTTTATTAATATTGCCCCAGCACACGGGGGAACAGGCTGTTCGGAATTGCTCGTGTCCGGGAAACACCCGATACCGGATAGTTCTATAACGGCCTCCACGTCCTACCCCCATACTAATAGCGCCTGTTGCCTGAATCACTTCCCTCACAGGTCCCGTATCAATCTGGTCACGGACAAGAATGGGAACGGGGGTTGGAGCTCTTTGACTCAGGACGACAAACAGTGGCTGCAGTTTGATCTGGGGTTCTCCAGAAAGGTGAGCCAAATAGATGACACCCTTCTGCTCTCTCTCTCTCTCTGTCGTGTGCCCATGTATTTCAAAACTAGTTTGTAGGCCTACAGGGTATTTATGCATTGTTAATTTGTGTATGTGAGTATAAGAAGTGGCCAATACGATCATTATATATGTTAAAGCAACGGTTGTATAAATGTGTGTTGCCCCAATATTTTATTGGAAAGAAACGGATTATATTTGATGTTTTTTATTCTTTAATAATTACAATATTGAATTGATATTCATGTATACAGATAACAGGTGTGATAACCAAAGGTAGAGAGGGGTATTCTAGCGCAGGAAAAGGACAATACGTCACGGCATACCGGCTGTACTACGGCAACGCAACAGATGATATGGCTATGTTTGTAGACAATGATTTCCAACCTGTGGTTTGTTATGCTATGTGATACTATTTGTTGATAGTGTTACCTCATTTAAATACACTGCCTGTTAAGAGCCTTTAGCAAGTTTAGTTTCCAATTTACATGAAATCTAACTTCTCTTGATATTTAAATATATCTGTTAATAAGACAGGCGTGCTTCATCATATTAATGAAGGATATTTCAGTAAAAATATTAACAATAAAATCTAAGGGAACTTAACCTTAAACACCCATTTCATCATTTTTGTTACTTAATTACTTTTCTAGACAGTATTATACAACTTAAAATAAACTTATAGATATTTGATGGTAACTGGGACACAGTGACACCACAGATGCGTGACCTTGACCCTCCTATCTACGCCAGATATGTCCGTATTAACCCGGTCAAGTGGAACGCTCACCCGTCCATGCGTGCTGACCTACTGGGATGTCCACTTACGAAGGACACGAACTCCATCATTGGGTAGTGCATGAACTCTATGATGTAAAACATAGCAATAAAGCATGCGGTGTTCGGTATGCATCATGCACAGAATCTGCCAACTGAAAGCATTTATTGATGTATGGCAAATAATGATATATGCCAATCAAATAAATGATGTTTCTGCAACTCTGACGCTAATGATGTTTGCTTATATGCCATCAAAATGCAATAAATGTCTCATCAAGCAGACTTGCAGTGTTTAATTCTAGTAAACACCCTGTAAAGTTTGATATGTAGTACGTAGCTGTGCATTAATGAGTTAAAACCAAGTGTGTAAATCATCATATTTGTAACGAATGAGATTCTTCACCTTATTGACAGCAAGCAAACAGAACTACTCATCCATGCATTTGTGACTTCAAGAATCGAATATTGCAACAGCCTCTTGTTCGGAATACCTAATTATCAAAAAAAAAAAAAAAAAAAAAAAAAAAAATTGCAGTCTATTCAGAATTTAGCAGCTCGTGTCCTCCGTAAAACTCAGAAGTCCGACCTCATCACACCAGATCTTCGCGATCTTCACTGGTTTCCCGTGACTCAAAGAACAAGAATAGTCTATAAGATATTACTCTTCATTAAAAAAAATTAAAGGGCGATTGTCCATTTTACATGAAGAATAAAATATGACTTAAAACTCGTTTCAGAACCCTCCGCTCCAGTGATCAATTTCAAATCAAGCGAAACGATACCAAAAAAATACTCTTAAGACAAATGGTCACAGGAGTTTTTGTGATTGCTGCACTGATTTTGTGGTCCAATTTTATTTACAAAGATATGTGTCTTTTAATGACTGTTATTACTTTTTAAAATAATTAAAAACCCTTTTATATAAAGGTTATTTTGGTTTTATTTTTATCTTTTAGTTTTAATTACTTCTATGTTAGTTTTTAATTTATCTTTGTAGTTTAAGTTTTAAAATGTATTTATCTCTCGTAAACAGCACTGAGACGCACGTGTAGTGCAGTTTTATAAATGTATAATGTTATTATATTTATTATAAACTATCTATTACTAGATACAATAACATAAGTAGATCGAGACTTGATCATCTATTTCATGTAATTTTATTTCTATGCTTATAATGATATACAATTTATACAATGAATACAATTTACCGGCAAGTGACATTTAAAAAGTACAAGAACACAAAGTAATTTGACATATTTTGAAAACACTCTTATAAAGAGAAACAGAAAACTTTTTTATGTCTACATATATACAACATCTAAAAACTACCAACGTCTTTCCGGATTGTATTGATAATAAAACACTTTCAGAATAAAAGAAATTTGTACCAAACCTCTGAACGTTCAACACGATGTATACTAAGAAAGGCAAAAACAGAGGGTAAAACGTCCGCTCCTCCCCGAATCCCCGCACATAAGTTAACTAATATATATCTCCCAATGTGCACTTTTATAAAAAGTATGGAATAAAGCATACGTTCTTTTAATTTTGCGGCCACAATGACAATGCTGGGGTATTAATTGGTGTCCTTGACTTTGCTTAACTACAGGGTTACCACTTAATATGGAATATTATTTTTTGGCGAGTAAATTTTCTACAAAATATTTAATTTCTCTCTAACTACTTTAAATCCAAAGCTGAGGTGTCATTCCATGTGTAGCCAGGTGTGTTACCTAATTACCACACAACTCTCGAAACAATTGATGCATGCAGTTGCATGTTCTGTGGTCAGAAATGTGAGGGGTGTCTCTTTTCGGCAATTTCTGCCCTTGTATAAAAACGCATGGGTTTGGTTAATCTTTGGAGTGTGTTTAGAGAAGCAACAAAGGGATCGCTCTGAAACTTGACAGGTACCTTAGTGAAAATATGGTTCGACAGCTAAGCAACGCAGCTTACTAAGGGATTCTTGCTCTCAGATAAAATGGTCAGAAACGGACAGCCATTGCCAGGTAATTCAACATTTATCAGGAACCGTTTGTGAAGTCCTCCAAAGAAATGCTGCAACAGGGGCACCTACTCAAATACCTCGACCAGGGTGTCCGCGTATCACACCAAGAAGACAGGATCGCCTTCTCCTTAGAGGACGCCGTGCTGGTCGTACAAAGACAACCAGTGTCCTCAGAAAAGAGAGGCAGAATGTCATTCAAACTCCCGTTTCAAGGTCCCACGTGAACAAGATATTTCTGCAAGCCGGTTATTTTGCACGAAGGCCAGTAGGGAAACTACTGTTAACAGCAGGTCATATACAGCGACGTCTGCAATGGGCTGGGGACCACGTGCGTTTGCAGCCAAAACACTGGAATCACGTCGTTTTCAGTGATGAGGCCAGAAATGGATTTTTTAGGGTTGATCGTCGAATCCGTGTCCACCGACGTGTACGAGGGGCATAAAACAATGATTGTGTACTGCCTAGG